GGTACTGTGGAGTTTTTGCCTGCGTTAATTGGTTTAACAGGTGGGCAGTCTTCTATTGCGCAGCCTGTAGGCCTTGCGTAGGTAAATGGATGAGTGCCTTACCTATTCTGTCTTGCAGATAGTTGTTGCCACTACGTAGATGGGGAGCTTCCATCTTTTAATCTGAATGACACGTTAAAACGTACGACGGCACATCGCTCGGTGGCAATTTCATAACGATCCCCAACGAATCATTCTTGTTGAGAAGGTTTCCTGATACATCCCTGGTGCATTCCACTGTTTCGGCGTGTATGTGCAACACATTTGGGAACTAACATGGGTTACTTAGAATCCCACCACTCCACCACAGAGTCACCGCCAGTAGACGTTAGATGAGCGCTGTCGCTCTGCGGCACGTTTATATACCATTTTGTTACTCACTGCTAGTTAATAAGCAGACCACCAACTTTTGTGCCGGACCACGCGACTTCTCAAGTTGGTGATCCTGCTGTCCACTAGATTTTCAGCCAAAATTCCAACCTGCCATGCAAATGGCATTATGGTCTTTGTGTCCAATGTGGACAAGTTTGTAGGGCCTAATGTTAACATGTGTTTTGCACGTGTGTTACATAAATTATCAGTGGAGTTAGACTAGCTAGTTTGTTTTAGTCATAGTCTACTAGACAGAGCGTCGCTTGTGGCGGCTACATTGATGTATTAGGGGAGAATTGTAAACGTGGTTAGGTTAGGCAGTTTCTAGGGTCATTGTGAATGGGGGTAGAACGCGTCTGGGAGAACCAGTACATGTGCGTGCAGGATGTAAGAGTTGGGGGGAATATATAGGACAGGGATGTAGGAGTCGAGAGGATTCTGGTGTTGGTCGCGGAAGAGAGCACACGCCGCTCTATGTGCGCGTGTGCGCGTTCTTTGTTCTTTGTGCGATGTGTCTACACTGTGGAGCTATTAAAGATTATTCCAGTACAACACGAGTTTGCTTTATATCATCGTCCCTGCTTTACACTAAAGTCAGTACGTTGTACCGTCATGGTAGAAATACCAATGGAAAATTTGGCTACCACTTTTCATTTTGGCGCCAGAAGAAATAAATTTCTGGTGGCCCCCAAAAAAATTGTCAAGCACTGGAGAAGGTGTGTCGCATACCAAAACCCCTAAGGCAGGGGAAAAAATATCACGGGGGCGGGCGGCGATTTCGCCCCCGGAAATGCTAAGAAGAGCCCCCGAAAATACGATATCGGGGGCGACACCCAAAAGGCAAAGTCGCTCCTGGAAAATCGATTTGTCCAGGTCGCGTCCCGCGCCTTGCCGATCTCGCTCGGCCTTTGCCGCTAGCGGCAGCCCGGGGCGCGGGGGCGCGGGCGGCGCGGCGGGGGCGGGGGCGCCGCGGGGCCGGGGGGGGGCGCGCCGGCTTCCACCGGCGCGGTAGAAATTCCTAGCTACGGTGGTGCGTGTCAAGTGTTTTATCATTTTAACATAGCATGATGTGTATTGCATTTCAATCAAGCGCGCGCCGGCCGCCCGCGCGTATATATACGTGTGGTGCCTGTGCGCGTGCTTGCGTGTTGCTGGCTGCGCGCGTGTGCGTGCGTGCCGGTGCTGGCCTGCAGGCTGCCTTGCGTGTCGTGCCTGCTGGCGCGGTGGCGTGCCTGCGCGCGTGCGTGGCGTGCGGGCGTGCCTGTGTGGTGCCGGTGTGCCTGCGGCCGTGCGTGCGTGTTGCCTCGTGCGTGCGTGGTGCATGCGCGCCGTGCTGCTGCGTGCGTGGTGTGTGCCTGCGCCGTGCGTGCCTGCATGGGCGTGCGTGGTGTGGTGCGGCGTGTGCCTGCGGGCGGCCTACGTAGGACCGTAGGACCAACGACCCGCGTAAGGATTATAGAACGGTAATCCATGGAAAATCATTAATGAAATTTCATCACGTATAATTATTCCCTGCCGGCCTCACTCGTGTTGTCATTCCCATTGTAGCTTTTTTTTGTCAATTCGCCCCGAAAGGAGTTTTGCTGCCGCGCTCTCATAGTCCCAGCAAGGCCAACCGCTTCTAACATTTTAGTAGTGATTAGTAGCCGAGCGCTGAAACAAGTCGTGCCCCCCCCCATACTTCAATCAATGCCGCCGTGCCAGCAGGCACGCTACGCAGGCGTCGATGTGCACAGCCATTCACCCAGTGCTCGCGGGCCGCACGCTTCTCAAACCCCTGAGCTTCCAGTGGCGCCTTATCGCGGGCCTTGGACCCCAGCCGCAAGAGACTTCGCGTATATAACACAATCGATCCTTCCTAGCTCGTACAGGCGCGACATTCCACTATTTGGGCTAGCCGTAAATAGTTCTTGTGTGTTAGCTGAACCTGTGATGTATTCACTATTCAAGGGGCGATTTGTGGTTGTGACTTGTGAGTTTGTGGATTATCATGTTAGTCTGTCAGTCTGAGTGAATAACTGTCTTGAATATGGCACTGTTGTGTCTGTGTGTGTCTTGTGTGGTTGTTGTGTGTGTGTGTCGTGCGTGCGTGCGTGCGTAGCGTGGCTGTGCGTGCGTGCGTGTGTGTCGTGCGTCGCGTTTGACGTGTGTGTGGTGGGTGTGCGCGCCCCACGAGTGTGTATTAGCTACTGTGCTTGTGGTGTACATTTGAGGAAACAGCCTGCGAAAAAAGTCGCCCTGGAAAGTGAAAAAGAGCCCTGGAAAATGAAAAAGTAGCCCCGAAATTTTGGGGGTTTGCAAAAAGAGCCCCGCGAAAGAAAAAAAAAAAAAAAAAAAAAAAAAAAAAAAAAAAAAAAAATAAGAAAAAAAAAAAAACAAAAAAAAAAAAAAAAAAAAAAAAAAAAAAAAAAAAAAAAAAAAAAAAAAAAAAAAAAAAAAAAAAAAAAAAAAAAAAAAAAAAAAAAAAAAAAAAAAAAAAAAAAAAAAAAAAAAAAAAAAAAAAAAAAAAAAAAAAAAAAAAAAAAAAAAAAAAAAAAAAAAAAAAAAAAAAAAAAAAAAAAATAATTAATTTTTCACTGCCTTAAGGCAACCAAACCAATTTTAACATACTTGCACATCTCAGGCAGATGAGTTGTGTAACAAACCTTTGTCTTTGTGACTTATTTAACTTTACCTACCTTCTACGTCTTTACAGCGATATTTCATTCATACTAGATCACGGGGGATACATGTAGTTGGTGACAACTGCCCTTTCTAGTTATTATTATTATTATTATTATTGCTATTGGTATTATGATTGATTATTAATTATCGATAGTTACCTTCGTTAATTAAGCGTTCTTATTAATTAACTGAGCAATGAGAGAGAAAGTGGTCCTCGCCCGCCCTCTCTCTTCTCTCGTCTTCCTTCACTCGCATAACTAAACAGCGAGAGAAAAACCTGTTTCCTCCCTCTCTCCCACTCCCCCCTCTCTCTCCTCTCTCGTCTTCCTCCCACATGCATAACCGAACAGCGAGAGAGTAACCTGTCTTCTCCCTCTCTCTCTTTCTCTCTCTCTCTCTTTCTCTCTCTCTCGTTTTCCTCTTCATCATTCTCTCCCTCTCTCCAGGCTTCCTGTCGAGGACTTCCGGATGACGCGATCGCAGAAGAGGCTCCTGAGGAGGGTGCACCGCTACCTAAGCACGGGGGAGAAGCCGTGGGGAGGCACCGACCGAGCGACCGGCGCCGCCGCAGCAGGGGGCGCCACCTCCGCCGACATGGAGTGCTCGCCGGCCGCCCCCCGCGCGGTGAGTAGAACAATATATATATATATTTACACACACACACATATTGAGATGCCTTCGTGGCCTAGCGGTTAGGCCACGTATACTGTCCACTGAAGGTTGTGAGTTCAAACCCCGGCCGGGGCAGTGAATTTTCTCAAGGTGTAAAAACCTGGCTCTCAACATTGGAGGACCACGTAAAATGGCGGGTCTCCAGTAATATGAAAGGCCAATGGGGACGTAAAAGAACCAGTGAGGGCGCAAAAACAAACTCTGGCTGTGACCACCCTCAGTGCCATTCAATGCCATTTACTATAGCTGTATATAGCACTGTTGGCGGACAGAGGGGAGTGGCGACCCCTGTCTGGTATGAGCTACAGAAAGAAATAATAATACCCTCCCGAGGAGACTCGAAATAATAAAATTATTATATATATATATATATATA